ATGTCCTTAATAGGGGAATGGTTGAATAAAGTCTGCATACCAATATAAAGAAATAAAGAAGATCTCTACACTCTGCTGGTCAGAGTGATCTTCAGGGCCTAAGATAAATATAGAATGATATGTATTTAAAAAAGAGAAGGATACCATCAACTAATGAAAATGTACTTTAAAAATCTGAAACTATTAGTATATTAGTTCTTTTATTTTGAACATACACCTAATTGTGTTACAGCCCTAGAAATATTCTCTGCACAGAGAAAACAAATACAAAAAACCCTTATGCCTACTGTTGGCACATTAACAGTGGAACAAAAATTTTTCTCTTCCCAATTCTTGTTCCTTTTATTTTTCCAGGTAACATATCCGAATTTCATGCAAAAATTCAAAACACCACAACCCTCAGCATAAGTGGGTTAAATGAAATAACTTCAGTAACAACCTCATGTTAGATTTAGAATGGAAATATCAATATGAATTCATGACACATTGTCCTCTTCCTGGTTATCTGAACTGAAAAGGTCTAGAGCAGTGGTGAGTGGCACACCTATGGCATGCAGGCTGCAGCAGGCTGTTGGTATCACTGAGAGAGAGGGCTAAAAGGTTCACCATCACTGGCCTAGAGGAAATGGCAAGCCAGTAGTGATGATATCCCTAACACCCAGTTTGTGCTTTTAATACAGTTATCCCATTTTCCACTAAGAGATCTGGGTTCCCTGGAACCCAACTCTAGGCCATCAGACAACATCTCAGTGGTGAGCCCTGGACATCTCTTAGGTTAGAAAGCAAAGAAACTATTAAAGATGACCAGGTCATGTCAAAAACACACAGGCACCAACTCAACTAGGCTCCCATTAGCCAAAGATGGGACAATTTCAGTATTAGAAAAATACTATCTACAATGGACTGACATATAAATATGTTAAGAATTCATGAGTTCGTAATAAAACAAAGGTCACAGGTGGTCACCTTTAGAAGTTGCTAAAACTACAACTCATTATTGTAAAAACTGACAAAAGGAATTCTGTCAGCATTCATCCTGTTATTTCCTGCCTAAGTTGTATTTCAGGGTATTCTAATAGTTCTTTATAGAATAACTGATGCTTTAAAAATATAGGAAGAGTGGGGGATGCAGCTCAGTGGCACTGCGACTGACTGGCAAGCACCAGGTCCTCAGTTCAATCCTCGTTACTACAAAAAAAAAAAAAAAAAAAAAAAAAAAAAAAGAAAAAAAAAAAAAAAAAAAAGGAAGAATGATAAAATTAGAATATAATAATTCTCCAACTTTAATGAAATAATGGATTTAAGCACTGAACATAAATAGCTGCAAAAATCATTTTGTGAAAGTTTGATTGATGGGCAGCTTCCTAATGGATGAACAAGGCTGCAAACATATGAACCTACTGCTCAATCTTAATATTACTGGAAGAAAAAACTGGTTAATATATTCTCCTATGATTTCATAGCAAGTGCAGAATACTTCCAACAAGGCATTTTCAATAACAACCACAAAAAAGAGACATGAACCTAATCAGTTCTCGAGATCTAATTACCAGCTTACAGAAAATTTTGGGAGAAGCATGTTAAATGACACCTAGAAGGAAAAAAAAGGTAAAACAAAACCAAAAAACTACCATGAAGACTTGATGGAAAATGTCTCAAGGATAAATGCCCAGTTTCCTCAAACAAATAACAGAAATAAAATAGAAGAGGAGAAAAACTATTTTACATTAACCAAGGGCTAAGAGATTTATCCACAAAATGCAATGAGCATCCTGACTTCTTTCGGATCCTGACTTGAGCAAACCAACTGTAAAAAGCTATTTCTTTTTTTTTTTTTTTCATGGTCACTTATTTATTTTTGATACAAATGTACATGACACACACCTTGACAGTCCACCACTACCACACAGGTAGGAGCTGGCCCCTTGGGGGAGAGGTGGGTCAGGAAGAGCTGGTGGGTGCTGCTGTTGGCCTCTCCAGCCTTCCCAGGCTGCATCCCCAGGGTAGGGCCACCTTAGGTGCAGGTAGTGATTGGTGGGTGCTGGCCTTGCAGAGGTTATGGGGAGGGGCTCACCAGCTAAGTTGGGGACCCCGGGGAGCCAGCCCCAGGTCCTCAGCCTTCTGCCTGGCCAGCACTTTTCCCTCCACAAAGGAGGTAAAGGAGAGATGGAGGGAAGTGGTTTTCCTTTTAAGTTCATAGATTAGGGGTATGAGTGGGGGCTGCGATGAGAAGAGGCAGCATGAGGACCACAGCTGGTGACCTTGTTAGTCTTTGGTCCAGGTGGGGGAGAGGAAGGACCTCCTCCCCCAAAGCTGGTCCCATTGCTCTGGTCCCCTTGCCCTCAAAGCTCCAGATGGGCCAGGCCTCCTGAGTGGCACTGCTGCCCACACACTCACTGCTTTTCCACACACTGGGAAAAGCTGTATTTTGACTTCTAGTTTAATGATACAAAGATATAGTTAATTTCATTATGCCTGATAACACTGATCAAAATTTAGTATTTTATAAAAAGCACTTCTACATACACTACACTGATGCTAGCTACTCACAGAATGTACAATAAATACTAGTTAAATGACAAGAGTAACTGCCCCTGCAAACCTTCAATTGTAAACCTCCCAAAATAAAATAAACCTGATATTAGAGGTCACTATACTCCCTTACCCGCCCGAGTCATAAATTCAAACAAAATAGATCATTTCCAGTTTTCTGTATACATCTCGATTTTTTTAACAGAACTTTGAAGGCCCTAGAATACCCCTCCTTTATCTCTAGTCATCCAAATCCTACCATCTTGAAGATACATCCCAACAAGTTAGCTCCTGCACAAAGCTTTCGTTGAATTTTCCATTAGAAGTTATTATTCCTGTGACATCTGTAACATCTTACCTTGTACTGTTATTTTTTTAGGCTTGCTCATGCAACACATTACTATGTCCTCATTATTGCTCAGTACATCCAGCAAATACTGACCACTTTCTGTATTTTGGACCTGTGCTATAGGCAAAGTATGAGGTATGATTTTAAAAAATGACGACTTTTTAAAAAATTTTATTACAGTTAAGACTCACTGACATTAATCTCCTTCACAATATTTCCCTTCACTTCAAACACACTTATTTCATAATTCTCCCCATTTCTTGAAATGGTTCTGGAAGTCCTCTTTCATGAGTATCTTTAGTTGTGCTATCATGGCTGCCTTGATGTCTTGATTTGATACAAATCTTTTACACTTTGGGGAAGAACCCAAAGTCCCATGGTGCCAGGTCCAATGACTAACATAGGTGAAGACACACTATATACATATATAAAATGTTTTTTTGTACCAGGGACCGAACTCGGGTCCTTGTGCTTACGAGGCAGGCAGCAGACCACTGAGCTAAATTCCTGGCCCAACACCATAATGTTTTTACAAGCCTGCCTTTTTGTTAGATGGCAGCAGCATTCACCAAATATTTTATCACACCACATAGACATCCACAAAAGAAAGCTTCCAGAACTTCGTAAGTGGCAAAGAGGATGGATAAGTGTATTGAAAGCAAAGGGAAGTATTCTGAGAGAGATAAATGACAGTGTGCCTTTCACTGGGATAAAAAATATTAATTTACACATTCACAGTATATTTCAATCACACAGTGTATGCTACAAGGAATGCTGTCCCTAGTCTTGAAATTACAGTCTAGTAAATAAATACTATAGTTACACTATCCACATAAGAAATTATACACAATAATGAAAAGTGTTACAAAAAGAGAAGTATAAGAGCTAAGACAGGATGTAAAGGGTATTAAATTAAATTTAAGCTAAGAATCTCTGATAATTGTATCCTTAAGTGGAAAACTGCAACTAGCGTTGTTAGATCAACTGAAACTGTCAAGTAAGAGCATATGCTTGCAATTAATAGTTAGGTCTTAGGAAATCACAGCAGCTGAGGTCAGTCAACTACAGGAGGCCAGCAGAATCCAGACAAAACAGCAAGCTATAATCAGTTAAGCTGTCCCTGTACCTCATTTCCATTTTCTATTTGTTGTCTGACCACAGTACAGCCCACACGTTCTTTGAACCTGTTCTGGTTCTGAGGACCTCTTGAGTTTAGAATCGTAAATAAAAGCCAATTAAGGCCAGCTGCAGCGATGCACATCCATAATCCAAGCTATTCAGGATGAGAAGGATTTCAAGGTCTGCCTTGGCAATTTAGCGAGAACTTGCCCCTAAATAAAAAAGGGTTGGGATGTAACTCAATGATACAATGTTTGCTTAGCATGCACAAGGCACTGGGTTAAATCCCCAGTACCAATAAACAAAAACAACCTCAATTAGAATCTTTAAATTTGTCCTAATTTTGTCACCACATAAAATGCATGATTCAGGATTAATTTTTACGTGTTTCAATGTTTAACCATGTAACCCTTTTGAGATGTTTGAAGCTGAAACAAAATAAGCAATGCCACAAAGTGGCACACGGTAAGTCCTCAAGAAAAAAATATTCAGTTCTTTTCACTACGTGCCGTGTCCAACAGGAAAGAAATTGATTTGGCTTTGGGTCCTAATCCTTAGCAGCTGACCCGCCAAAAGATAGGAACCTAATGAGCATTTTAGAAATAAGTGAAACAAGTTGGAAATACGAAATAAAAAACATGCAGTATTTTCATCAGGTGTCGCTTTTAACGTGGAGTACCATTATTTTCCTATTAAAGGTAAAGTGAGGCTTGGGCAAAAGGATGGGGTCCAATAGTATGGTAATCTCTTAGCTCCAGTTCCAGGGTCCCTTTTCCGTCTTTCTTGTCCCCACCATAACAGTAAAACCCTAGTCCCAAAAGAAGCCCTGGTGTCCCACACCCGGACAAGGCCCGCAGTCTTTCCCACAAGGCTTTGCAGCGCCGCGGAGAACTCTGGGATACAAAGGGATAAACAAATCCACAGCAACGGCCTACACTTAGGCCATAGAAACCGCCATGAATCTCTCGGTGTGGGTTCTTAGGCCATTTTGTATGCTTACCTTTCCTAGAGACCCCACTATCTGGGGCCTCACCAACGCCCGCAAACGCTGGGAACAGCGCCATGATCACAGGCCTCAATGCCGTTCTCTTCCACGGAAATGGCGCCAGCTAGCAACCGCGGGTTGGCGGCCTTCGCTATCGTGGTGCACGCCGGGAAGTGTGGTTTCATTGGCGTTTCCGGGGGCTTGACCAGCGGCGGGGAGGGGAAGGAAAAGGTGGAACCGAGAGGCGGGGCGCGATGGGCGGGGCGCAATGGGCGGGGCGGGCGAGGTCGGCTTCCTGGTGGATGGTACCTTCAGTCTTTTGTGAGATCCGGAAATGCGGGAAATGGCCAACGGAAGTGTTCAAAAGTAAAAGGGATTAGGAAATTGGAATTTCAGTTCCATTCGTAAACTCTTACCGTCATCTGTTCATTTGTCTACTGGGTGAAATTAATCAAGTTCGCAAAGCTTAAATTTCCTCATCCGCAAGATATTGAGAGGCTTAACAACATATATATGGACTGCTTAGCATTGTGTTTTGCCCAGAAAAATCACTTAACAGAAGCTAGCTGTTATGTGAGTTGTGACTACAAGTTCATCTGCAAACCATTTTTTTGTTTACAGGAAGTCCTTTATTTTTACAAGCAGTCTTTAAAATATCTTTAAAATATTTACAAGCAAGCCATTTAAAAATATCCTAGGATGGATGCAAAGTCCCATCAAGATCAAAGCTCTTTGATAGAAAAATACATTCACCTGTCCAGCGTATTCTTTTTTATATTCTTTGAGACATGGTTTCAGTATGTAGTGCAGGCTGCCCTCGAACTCATAGCCATCCTCTTGCCTCAGCTTTTGCAGTCCTGGGATTACGGGTATGCACCATTATGCCCCCCTAAAGAGTATTCTTGAAAAAAAAAAAAAAAAAAGCATGCTACTACAAATAATAAGGAATTTTTAAAAATTTTTAAAATCATACCATCTAGAAGCAATCTGCCAAATCCAGTGAGAAATTATAGAAAAGTAAGAATCAGTTTATTCAACAAATCAGTGGTGTTGAGGAGGTGGTGTTGAGAAGACTGCAATAGATTAAAAGATCTTAGAGACATATCAACCAAATTCAACCTCGTGATTCTGATTGCACTAATTATAAAAAGATCTTTTACTTTGGTGGAGGAGAGATAGTGAGGTTTTGGTGAATGCTAACCCTATCTCTAAAAGGACTTTTTAGAGGGAGACAGAGAAATGAGGTGGATAGACTATTATACAATATCAAGTAATTCTTGTTCACTCTGTTAGATATACTGATGGATTAATGGCACTGGGATGTCTTTTTCTAGTTCTTGTATGTTAGAGATACATACTGAGGTATTTGCAAATGAAAACAGGTAAGTGGTGATATATTTGTTTGGATCGCAGGGAGCTCAATGAACTTTAGAGTTAGGACACATTAGAGACCAAATATGCAAACCTAATCATCAAATCAAGGAAAGGGTAGACCCTTGGGAAGCTACACAATAATGTGAAGATTAGGATGTCTAAGTCCATATCCAGCATACTTCACACTTTCAAATCCTTGACTTTAAAAGGGACTTGCAAAAGGGGATCTAGCATATGTATACTCTTAAATCTCAGGTTCTACCAAATCTCTGGCAGTAAATTATCCCAATTATCTCAGTTGAGAACATCTGCCTTCATTTCAGGATCCTGAGATGGTAGCCACCATCACCAATGCTTCATATCTTTCTACTTTGAAAAATAAGAATTGAGAATTGATATGTAAAGCTTAAATCTAAACCATAATAATAATGTTTCTGTAGTAAGAAGGAATCAGGGCATATTAGGAGTTTATTTACAAATGTGTAAGAGAATTTGCCATGAGACTCCTTATAAGAACAATTTAAATTATGTAATCACATAACAAATCTAGATTGCTGGTTTAAAGTTGAAATCCTAATGAACTTTAGGCAGAGTTTCAGGATATCTAAGAAATCTAAGGCCTCTCATATTTGTGACTGCAGTTAATTAGCTTTATTGAGGGTATTTGAAGGCTGACAGATTATCAGGTAATTGAAGCACCAGAAAAGGAAATAAATATTAATTTTTAGATGTATATAAAATATATGATTGTGCTAAGCATAGGCCAGCAAACTTTTTCTTAAAGGGGTACATTGTAAATATTTTAGGTTTTATGGATCAGAGGATTCTATCATTGTCTTGAGAAAGCAGTCATAGAGGATAAATATATAAATGACTCTGCATAGCTATATTTCAATAAAACTGTATTTACAAAAACAAGCCTACAGGCTGTAGTCTGCCAACTACAATACTGTTCAATATTATATGAGACAATTAACTCCCTTATAAATTGAAACCAACATTACTCAAGACTCCTTTAAAATTTTTGCTAAAATTTAGACTTCAAATCAGGCACTGCAATCCCAGCACTCGGGAGGCTGAGGCAGAAGGATTGCCACGAGTTTGAGGCCAGCTTAAGCTACATATTGAGTTCAAGGCCAGCCTAAAGTACATAGCAAGATCCTGTCTCAAAAAACAAACAAATGAAAATAGTATGACATCTATGATTTGCTTCAAATTAATACAAAAGGGAGTTAAATGGATACAGAGGTATGATAGAAACAAGATTGGCCCCGGCCTTGATAATTGTTAAAACTGGGTTATGTGTATGTGGGAATTCATACGCTATTGTGTCCTTTTTTTGGTTAAGTATATTGCAAAAATTTTAACCAATAATTAAAACTTTTAAAAAAACAATAGGGGCTGGGGATTTAGCTCAGCGGTTCGGTGGCCTGCCTTGCAAGTGCAAAGACCCAAGTTCAATCCCCGGTACCAAAAAAATAAAAAATAAAATAAAATGGAACAAACAACTGATGCATAAAACAACATCAAATCTCAAAGTCAATATGCTGGGTAAACTAACCCAGACAAAGAGTACTGATGGTTTGATTTACTTAGGCAAAATCCCAGAAAATCCAAATAAATGTACAGTGACAGAAAGCAGATCAGTGATTGCCTAGCTGTGGGACAGAGGGACAGATATTCTCCAGAGGGAAATGGGAATCTTTTTGGGGTAATGGAAGTGTTCTGTGTCTTGATTATGGTATTAGTCTCAGAGGTGTGTGACCATCTGATGTTTTAAAAGCTTAAGAACAAGTGAGGGTTTTAAATTTGTCTTAATAAATGGAACTTTTCCTGAGTAAACGCCTGAGGCTGAATGGAACATGTGGTCTCCGTGGCAACTATACTGAAAATTGAATTTTATACACTTTTAATACATCACAAAATATTCTCCTGTCTACTTTTCCCTAACATTCATAAGTATAAATACTATCCTTGACTAAGAGGTTATAAAAACTGAGAGTGGGCTGACTTGATCATAGCCATAGTTTTTTGGACCTGTAAAAACTTTTTACTGTTGACTAAACAAAGGCAAACCTTAAATGGTCTTTTCTGCATAGAAAAACCACCTCTAAATTTACCACAATTCTATTGTTACTGTTGTTTTATTATTATTATTCTCAACTTCAAACTGGGCATATCTAGTGGCAGGGAATCCCAAAATAAACCAGAAATTATTTCAAATTTTTGTTTAGCTTTTTATGTAGCTTGCCTCAAGGAAGAGAATGCACACTTCAACCTTTTAGCATTTCTATTCTTTGTGGCAGAAATAACTCACGCCAAACATCTCTGGACACTAGAAAGAGTAAGTCTTTTCTCTGAATCTGGAGGAAGAAAAGGAAGATACATGGAGAAGGAAAATAAAAGTACAAGCAAAAAACATGAAAACAAGTTTTGTTTTAGTTGCTGGGAGGTTGATGGTAGATGCAATGGAAAAGTAGTGGGCATGAATAATGGCTAAAAACTGTAGAAAACAGTCTTTGTGTGATGTCAGAAGGAGACATGCTGTGAACAAAAGGGTTGCAGGAGGCTAAACACAAAGTAGGAGGTACCAAACACTTGTTTGTTGGCAAAATAGTGCCTACATAATTCCCACTCATTTTTAGACATGGATATTACATAAAGAAAAAAGACTAGAGTGTCATGGATTTAGCTCAATAGTGCCCTGCCTGCCAAGCAAGCGTGAGATCCTGAGTTTGATTCCTTGTACTGAGGGAAAAAGAAAAAATACTAGGTGTAAATATTGTTTTGCTTAATTAGCACGTTCTTTTCTGCATCCACAAGAAAGTCATGTCACTAGAATGTGGCCTGGATGTCCCAGCCCCACCTGACATGTCATAGTAAGTATGTTGCCCAACTTGGCCAAGTCTTTAGTTGGTAGGTCTGAGCTAAGCCAGGCCAAGTCATGTTCATGTCCAGGAATTTTAGAACTACAACTGAAAAAGTAAAAGCTATTCATTCTTTGTGTTTCTGGGCTTCAAGATGTAACAGCCCAGGAGATGGCTGACAAGCAGAAGAAATCCCCCTGTGTTGAGAGAAGGGGAAAAAACAGGTATGAGTCAGAGAGATGAGTCCCAAGGTTGTAGAACTCTACTCAGCCTTATTTCTATGCTTGAGTTCTTTCTAGGTAGCCAAAGAGCACCCCCACCTCATTTCAAGTAATGAAATGTTCACTTTTTGTCACTTACACCCCAAAATCCTAAATAGTACAAGAAGGATTGAGTAATGCCATTTCTACACTCAAGATCAAAATCCCAGAGCTTGGATTTGGTTCCAGTTAGTTTGAACGATTCAGGAGACTTTTAAACTGGTCTACCAAGAACACGGAACTGCCAAGTTCCTTTCATCTTAAGCAGGAAGGAATCCACACTCCCTTATCTCAGGCAAACTAGAGAAACAGGTTTATCAGCTCATTCAATCTTAAGGAATTTTCTGGTAGTTTCATTAAGTCAAAGAAAGAAAATGGCGTCCCTTGCAAACCAGAGAAAATAGCAAGGAAATAAAAGCCTGAGTCACTTCTTCGCTTCTGCTTTCTCTTCTTCTGTTTTGTTTCAGCGGACAGTGGGGAGTCTTAGATTGGCCGTGTCTTAATACTGGACATAATTTCAAGCAATGATTCTTTAGTGATAGGTAAACCAGCCTGTTTACGTCTAAATTACAGTTCACATCGAATTGTGTAAGGGTTTTGGAAGTCCTGCAGAAATACACAGAACAAAGTCACCAATTACCCTTGATCATTACCCTTAATAGTCATCAGAAGGCTCTTTCCCCAGTGGCTCTTCCCCACCCTCTGAAAGAATGGCCCCATGAGCCCATGAGCTGGAAGGAGGGCTCCTAGTGACCCACCTCATTGAAAAACAAACTCGGACCCAGGACCTATGTAGCGGAAGTGAGAGCAGAGCGACTAAGAGCGCGCTAGCGTCTACTGCAGCTGTGCGCAGTCCCATTTCCGGTCCCCCCCCCCCGAACTGCTGCGTACTCAGTGATGGCAGCCGGAATGTTGAGGTTGTGCACTCAGTGCCTTTCGTCAGCAGCAGCAATGCGTAGGCTCCTGGCTACCCGCGTTTGCTGGGAATCCTCCAAGGCCGGGGTCACTCCATCCACTGTGGCCAGAAAGCAGGCACTAGAACCGGCCTCCCAATGGCAAGAGGATCCAGCACCAGAGGAAGAAAACTTGTATGAGAAGAACCGAGACTCTCATGGTTTTGACAAGGATCCTGTGGTCGACCTCTGGAACATGCGTGTTGTCTTCTTCTTTGGCTTCTCTATTGTCCTCGTCTTTGGCACCACCTTTGTGACTTATCTGCCTCACTACAGGATGCACGAGTGGGCCCGCCAAGAAGCTGAGAGGCTTGTGAAGTACCGAGAGGCCAAAGGCCGCCCCATCATGGAGTCCAACTGCTTCGACCCTAGCAATATCCAGCTGCCAGAGGATGACTTAGCAGCGTGGTACTCAAGAAAGTCGCCTTCCTCACCTGCTGCCCACCTTTCTGCCCACACCTCAGAGCAAATAGTTAAAGAGACTGAAAAAAATAGCAAAAATACTAAACTTAGCATCAGAAGAACTTGCTGTCTTGGTTGCTTTTTTTGTTTCTGAGACAAATGGCAGGGGACAGACACCAACCAATATTCACTTGTGTGAGAGCACACAGTGGGCTGAGTCTGGGAAAAGGGAACTCATCAGCGAGTGAGGCTGAGGTGAGAACAAAAGTTTTAAAGGGGAGGGGAAGAGTTTGCTGCCTTGAAGAATTTGGGGATGGAGAGAGGTCAGGCTTCTTGGAATTGGTGGTGGTTGCTGGTGTTATCAGGCTTCCTGGAACTGTAGTTGCTAGGACATGATTTATGTCTTTGTTCTTTGCAGTGGTTTCACGGGGTTATCCCTTGGGCATGACAGCTTCAGTTCATAGGACTGGTTCCAAGGCATGGTGCCTGGAGCATGGCAGAGAAGAAACAGTTCATGGTGGGCAGAAGACAGCAAAATCAAGCAAGCAAGGGACGACCACAGCTCTTTTTTTCCCTTACATCTTATCCAGGCTACTCAGGGCAGGTATCACTCACACACTTAACCCTTAATCCTAGTGCCCTTGATCCTAGTATTACACCATGAATCCCAGAGTCACACACTCTAGATCCAGCTGAAAAAGCCCCACCTATGACTGCACAAAGCTTCGAGGAGACATCTAAACAAGCCATAACACTCAGGTTTACTTATGGAGAGGCTCATGTGTTCAAGCTTCAAACATTTTATAAGACCCTTGGATAAAAATGATTTTAACCGCAGTTATTTGTTTTGCATTGTTTGTTTTAAGACAAGTCTTGCCATGTTGCTCAAACTGGTCTTGACCTCCTGGATTTCAGTGATTCTCAGCCTTCTGAGTAGCTGAGACTGTAGCACCTCTCTGCCAGATTAACCAGAGTTTCAAAAGGTTAAATGAATCTTTTTTTTTTTTTTTTTTTGGTACCAAGGATTGAACTTGGGTCCTTGCACTTGTGAGGCAGGCACCAGAACCACTGAGCTAAATCCCCAGCCCTTAAATGAATCTTCTGGGTAGCTTCTGCTCTCACTCTTAATCCCTCAAAGGGGCCTTTTTTCTTTCTAGTACTGGGGATTGAACCTAGATCTTTTACAAAGAGCTAAGTCCCCAGCCTTGTTTTGTAGTTCGAGATAGGATCTCACCAAGTCTCTTAGTTGCCCAGACTTGTGATCCTCCTGCCTCAGCCTCCCAGAGTAGAGATTATAGGTATGCAACACCATGACTGGCTCCAAGATGCTCTGGAAGATTTTTTAAGCTTTTGTTGTCATCATAGCTCTTACGGAAAATGGTATGTGGTTTTGTTCCTTTGTGTTGCCGAAGACTAGAAAACACGCTACCACTGAACTACACAACCCTGGCCCAGTGTATGGTTTTTTTTGTTTTTTGTGTTTTTTTGGTACCAGGAATCAAACTCAGGTCCTTGTGCTTGTGAGGCAGGTGCCAGAACCACTGAGCTAAATCCCCAGCCCCTAATGCATGATTTTTAATGTTACATTGATAATGAAAGAGATTAAGGAAACGACATAAAGCATTTTTAAAAAATAATTTTAAAATACACAAATAGTTTAAATCTCTGCTATTCAGACTGCCTTTCTTTGACTAGAAAAGTGACTTTTAAGATCTGGGTTGGCCCGGTTTGCACTTAAATCTTCCTTCATCTTGTTGACCTTTTTCTCTCTGGCAGTTCTCCTGGCTTGTGGGTGGGTATCTTTCAAGTGTGGTAGCAGGAGTTGGCTGATCATCTCTTTCCCCATCTGTATTCTTTTCTTTTTCTCCCCTCATTGCCAAAAAGAGCAAAAGTGCCTTTTCAACCTGTAAAGAAGTATGCAAATTAAATTGTTTTTTCACCTTTTGCATACTTATTTAGGGATGCAGAGAAGGAACTACCTTCACCTAACATTTTGAACATAATACAGAAGAAGTTCTGAATATAGAGATGTATAAAAAAAGATGGGGACTAATCATATTTCCAGTATCCAAAGACAAATGCTATTTTGGGTTATTTTTTGCCAGGGCGTGTTCCCTCTCTCTCTCTCTCTCCCTTCCTTCCTTTGTTTTTGTTTTTCTAGCTACCGTCCCTTGAACCTGTGGAGTATGTGCTAACTGGGGGTGGCTCTCATGAGCATTGCATTGAATTATTGCACTCTGCTTGGTCTTACAAAGGTGATCAAAATATACAATAAATTTTAAAATTTTAAAAATTTTATTACAATAAAAGGCCATTGCCATTAATCCCCCTCAAAGTATTTTCCTTTTGCCTCAGACAGACTCATCCCATTGTTTTTGCCACTTTCTGAAGCAGTTCTGGAGGTCCTCTTTTGTGAATGTCTTTATGAGATGTGATCGAAATATGCAGAATGCTGCTGCTGAGTGCCATCCAACAGAAAGCAGACTCATAAAAACATAATATAGCCTGTTCACTAGATTTGGTACTGTGTGACTTTTAGCTGTTCCCCAAAGTCAAAATGACCATGAAAGGTGAACATTTTGAATCAATAAGCAGCCACTGTAGTGCAAGTTAAGACCCTCTCAAAAGAGGACTCCAGAACCACTTCAAAAAGTGGTAAGAATAGTGGGATAAGTGTGTTCAGAGAAAGGGGGAGCGTTGGGGGGGCAACGAGTCTTTTACTGTAATAACTTTTTAAAATATTCACTGTATTTTTATCATATTGTATATCTTGAAGGATTTTAAGTAAGGGGATATCAGATTTTTGTGTCCCGGAAAAATCAGTCTGTGACAGTAGAAAGAATGGTTTAGCCAGGGTAGAACGTGAAGGAAGGTGTGTCGCAGAGTGCTGAGAAGCAGGAGGATCAATAAACCATGCCAACACTCAGCAATCAGAAGTCAGGCTGTTCTTTTTGAGTTTGTTTTTAGGCCAACGGGGTGTTTTGAGGATGAATTTCAGAAATCCCTGTGAAATAAGCATGTGAAGTGGCAGATGAGAGAGAACTGATCCCAGAGGTTGCCTCTGCAACGATGTGCCCAGCGTGTCATGGAACCGAGATAGCAGTCTATTGGAGACATTTCACTTTCAATTATTGGCAACTATAAGATTAGGGTCTTTTTTGGGGGAAGGGAGGTTCACACAGAGTCTTGCTTATTAGTCCAGGCTGGCCAAAAATTTACAGTCCGCTGTACTTCAGCCTCCCAAGTGCCGGGATTACAAGTGTGTACCAACACATACAATTTGGATTTGGGTCTTTTGAAGACGTATGTTTCCTTGGGCTGGTGATTTAGCTCAGTGGTTCTGCCACCTGCCTCACAAGTACGAGGTCCTGAGTTTGATCCCTGGTATCAATCAATCAATCAATAATAAATAATTTTAAAAAGAAATATGTTTTCTTGAGTCTAGTAGAATTTAAATGCAGAAAATAATAAAGTATCAAAAATTGTTAAATAAAAGTATCATGTTCCCATTCTTACTCCCAATTTAACACATTAACGTTTTCTTCTTATTCTTCCTTTGCCTGTTCTGTTGGTACATATTTGCTTTTTACTTAAATCATAGTTCTCAACATGAGGTGCTAAGAATTATTCTGGAGATATTTTTGGTTGTCACAATTAAGGGCTGCTATTGGCATCTAGTGCGTGTGTTTGCAGGGTGCAGAATATCCTGCAGCGTGCAGTAGCCACTGCCACAAAGAATTATCTGCCAAAAATGTCAGTAATGCTGAGAACAACTTATGTAAAAGAAATAAAATATTAGAGTTGGGTGTGTAGCTTAGTGGTAGAGTCATTGCCTAGCTTGTGTGAGGCCCTGGGTTTGATCTCCAACACTACGGGAGGGAGAAGACGAAAAAGAGGAAGAGAAAAGAAGAGGACTTTGAGGCCAGAGTGTACACTATAGTAAGTTCGAGGCCAGCCTGAATTACATAGAGAACCCTATCTCAAAAAACAAGAAAAATGGGCTGGGGATGTGGCTTGGTGGCAAAGCACTTGCCTAGTATGCATGAGGCCTTGGGTGCTATCCCTAGCACCACCACAAGACAAACAAACAAGAAGAAAGAGAGAGAGAAAAGAAAGAAGGAGGTGGTAAAGGAAAGGAACACAAAGGGAGGGAATAGAGAGGAAAAGAAGAAAGGAAGGGAGAGAGAGAAAGAAATATTACAAAGTCCTTACATACTCCTTACCAAACTGAAAGCCAAGCCCACTTCCTAGCCACTCTCTCCCCAAGGCCAACCACTATTGAGAGGGAAGGGCAAATTTTTTTCTGCTTTTTTTTTTTTTTTTGCTTAAACCATTTATTTTTCTACTGATTTCTTAAGGTCCAACCTCTTAAAATATTAGTTCCAAGTTTCTTCTACAGGAATGAAAATACCCAATGTCAGTACCCCCAAAATACGACACTGTGGTATCACTAAGCTTAAGTGAACTGAGAAACCTGGAGATACAGAAAGGTCACTCTCTGGCCATCTCCCAACTTTGTCCCCTGAATCCTGGCTGCAGGACAGTACTGTGACCTGCCTCCCCTGAAAGCAGGTCCGAAGACCCTCACGTGACAGGTGGCCTTCCCAACCCCCAGAGGAGAGGAGAGAGGTACAGAGACACCAAGAGGGCCCTGCACACACAGGCCTGACTGACTTCCCTCAGCCTGTCACCCCTTCAGCCACACCCCTGCACCACTGTGCATAAAAATGCAGGTTTCAGGCCAGGCATGGTGGCTCACACCTGTAATCCCAGCACTTGGGAGGCTGAGGCAGGAGGATTGCTATGAGTTTGAGACCAGCCTGGACTACATAGTGAGTTCCAGGTCAGTCGCAACTACATAGTGAGACCCTGTCTCAAACCCCCCCAAAAAAATGCAGGTTTCTCTGGGCCTCTGAGTTTTCATTTCTGTGTCATATAACACTGTGCTTGAATACACGTGTTATTCTCTTCTCCTGTCAATCTGTCTTTTGTATAGGGTGAACCTCGCACTGGGTGAGGAAGAGATTACAACAAAAAAGATGTCACTGTCACTATCAGAAAAG